CACAATTGATCAGGGGTCAGATAGTTTGATTGTTGGTAATACTCACATAGTTGCGTATGGACACATTTTTCTAAGATTTTTGACAATACTGGGAGCAATGATATTGGGCAATAGTTAGAAACCAAAGTAGTGTCACCACTTTTGTGGATAGGCACTACTCTTGAAGTCTTACAAAGTTTGGGTATGTATCCAGACACCAAGGATTCGTTAGTTAGGGTTGTGACGTGACAGGCGCATAGTCGGATTTGCCGGCATATGCGCTAACCTTACCCAAACCCCCATTAAAACACGGACACAGGTTATACTGTTGGAAATAATTCGTCCACAGCTTTATTAAATTATTAATAAAATAATTAAGGAATAACAAATGGGGTCATTGCCAACAAATCTTAATAATCTTGACCTCCCCCATATACATAACATACCCCTAGCAATGACCCCACAATAATAACAATAGATAACAATCTAAATAACATATTAACACAGAAACTGGCCGCCCAATTTGACCACATTTCCACCATGTTAAATTGTAGGGGTGTACCGAGACACCGCTACCCACCATATCCATTGTAGGGGTGTACCAAGACACCGCTACCCACCATATCCATTGTAGGGGTGTACCAAGACACTGCTACCCACCAGTTCCAGTGTAGGGTGTACCAAGACACCACCACACCCCCAGGTTCGGAGCCACCAACGGGCTCGAACGTACCAACCACGTGCAACACTGCCCAATCCACATTAAACCTCAGGATGCCCACTTTCTCCTCCATCTAGCCTCCGATTTAACCAGGCCATTCCCCGCCGCTGTGAAAAAATGGGAAATCAACTAACCTAACCAAATACAGGGAGGGTGGGAGGGGCAACTGACAGGTAAGCTTAGGTTCAGTTAAAATGGCCACTTCATATAATGGCTGGTATAAATACTCCCCTTATGGCTCCGCCCTACCCAGCATGCTAGCTGTCACTAAATTCCTGTGGCTGCTATGCCTACCTCCTGGCTCTGTCAAGGCCTATTCCTCTTAGCTGCGCTGATCCATGGGCTACAGGTTTAGCAATTGCTGGCACACTGAGCTTCAACAGCATTACTGGGATTTGATCAGGTCCAGACTGTTTTTTTAATTTCTAGATTATTAAGGTTTTTTTTAATGACACTAATAGGTACAGGTCTAAAAATGAACTTGTCTATATTGGGTCTTTGCAAATTTAGTGATATATTGATTGATATTGGTGCTCCACCAGGGCAAGGGGAAGTATGACATGTCTAGTACTGTGATCATGGCTTGAATCTAGCTCTTAAGAGAACAGAAAATAGATGGAGGACACAAGACAATAGACCTATTGTATCAACCTTACAATGGCTAGGTAATGCAATGCCCAAATTAGCTGAAACACAAATCCTGCACTCAGGTAAGTGAAGTAGGTGAAGCTGAGATCCTGTATTTGCAGCCACTTAGATTTTCTGTGGAAAAGTGTAGACTGCTGTAAAAGCAGAGCAAGGACAAGTGACATCATCATTTTGTGAAAACTCAGCAGTTGGGATAATTAAAGTGATCTTGCACTAAAAATGTCCAATTCTGACTGAAGTTCTCTCAAAATGGCAGCGCAGACAGTGCAACGGAGAGAAAGCAATAAAATTAAATTTAAAAATATGCTTAAACTCAGCCTGGTTCTTGGGCACCTGATACTAGCCACCAATCAATACAATGTAAACAGGAAGGTTTCATATGTTATGTGGTTGCATAATGATATTGTCTTGAATTGCAATGTAACCTATTTTGCACATCTGTTTCTCTGTTCTGTAACTTTCTTTCATGTTGATAAACAAAAACTGAAAAACTGCCACAAATAAAGAATTTCTAAAAAAATATATATATATTTGCCTAAAATAAAACTTCAAAAAAGAAAAATAGATACCATGGCAGTTCTTCTTCCAGGAAACAGAATAATATGTGAAAAGCTAGGGAAAGCACAATATAACAAAGGGGAAAACACACGAATGAATGAAGAGGGGTTTTGCCACAGACACCGGGATGTAGTTTTGTCACATTGCTCCCCCTTAGTTCCATGATGGGTTGGCTTGGAGATGTCCGGGGAAGCAATCAGGGCTCGAACTCCATCTGCCGGGAAAACCCATTGGCATTGCCATTATGTTTACCTGGCCTGTACTGCAAGGTGAAGATGTAGGGTTGTCGAGCCAGGCTCCAGTACAACAAGCACGGGTTATCCCCAGCAACACAGTTCAGCCAGATTAGGGGGTCGTGGTGTGTCATCAAGGTGAAAGGACGACCATAGAGACAGGGCCGTAGCTTCTTTAATGCCCATACAAGAGCCAGGCATTCCTTCTCCATGGTGGCATAGCTGACCTCCATGGGTAATAGTTAATATGCCACCGGATGCTCCATTGCATCGTCCTCTCCCACTTGACTTAGTACAGCTCCCAGCCCAAACATGGAGGCATTTGTTTGGACAAGAAACGTTTTAGTAGGGTCTGGGGCGGCCAACACAGGTGTCTCACTGAGTGCTGTTTTGAGTCTCTGGAAAACGGTCTTGCACTCCGGGGACCACACTACTTGTGTGGGAAGGGACTTTTTAGTCAGTTAAGTGAGGTTCTTGGCAAGGACGCTATATTCAGGGACAAATCTGTGGTAATAGCCCGCGGTCCCTAGGAAAGCTAACACCTGTGTCTTAGTACAGGGTTAGGGAAAGTTGACAATAGCCTCTACCTTGGCGGGTTCTGGTCGCTGTTTGCCTACCCTATGGCCGAGGTACTGCACTTCAGCCATACCGTCATGGCACTTGTCAGGCTCCAAGGTGAGCACTGCTGCCAAAAGTTGCTTCAGGACCATGGATAAGTGTCTCAGGTGGTCCTCCCATGTGTGGCTGTAGATGTTATCTAAATACGCACTCACAAAGTCCTAAAATCCCTCTAGGAGCTTGTCAGCAATCCTCTGAAAGGTAACTGGGGCATTCTTCATCCCAAAAGGCATAACCTTAACCCCTTAAGGACACATGACATGTGTGACATGTCATGATTCCCTTTTATTCCAGAAGTTTGGTCCTTAAAGGGTTAAACTGGTATAGCCAAAATTAGGTGACAAATGCTGACTTATGAGTTCCACGAGTGCTTCTGTATGAGGTCCAGGTGTATTTTTCTCCCATAAAGGAGTTCAAAGGGGAAGAACCCTGTAGACGCCTGGGGCACTTCGCGGTAGGCAAACAGGAGATGAGGAAGTAGCCTTTACCACTGCTGACAGGAGGCTGCAAACATCTTAAGCATCTGCTTGAGCATGCCATTAAAACATTCACAGAGTCCGTTGATCTGTGGGTGGTAGTGAGAGCTAAACAGGGGTTCTACGCTGCAACTTTGCCATAACGGTTGGGTCACAGTTGCCGTAAACTGAGTCCCATGGTCAGATAGAATCTCCCCAGGGAAGCCTACCATAGTGAAAAATTTTACTAGGGCTTCCACCACAGTCTCTACCTCTACATTAGAAAGGGCTAAAGTCTCCAGGTATCTAAGGTGCTGGGCATATGAAGGGGACCTATCAAGTCCACTGCTGCCCGGTGGAATGGCTTCTCTTTTATGGGCATAGGGTGTAGTTTTACCTTTGAGTGGTAACTCCTCTTCCCTGTCTTCTGGCAAGTGTCACACATCCTGCAATAATTTTGTAGGTCCCGTGTGATCCCTGGCCAGTAGAAGGTCTGGGTTAACCAGTCTTTAGTTTTCTGGACACCCATATGTCCAGCTAGGGGAATTTTGTGGCTGAGCCTGAGTCTGCCCTATATTTACAGGGCACTACTTGCTGTCTTTTGGGTATAGCTATCTCAGAGAGGTCATGATTATATGACAATATGATGTAACAAGCTGTTTCTGCTCTCTGTCACACACTCTGTACCATCCTTGTTTTACTTATATTATTTAATTTGCACAAAAAACATGCTCTTGATATACATGCCATGCCAGTGTTTTACTATGTTTGAGTAACTTTAGATTTAAGCCAAAAATCTCAGGAAAGAGAGCATGAGATTAATGGCAAAGGAAACAGGCATGCACTACAGGAACACAGGATAGATTTAAAAAAAATTGAATTGTTTTTTAGTTTTAAGTATTTTTAAGATTTGTTATGGCCGATATGATCTTCACATGGCAAAATATTTTTAAGGTAATATCGGTACACTACATTCTGTAATGGGGCCCTAAATATTTTAGTAGGTGGGCTTACAGCATAAAATTACAAATTCTTGTAATAAGCAATACATTGGTCAGGGGCAGCAAAGCTAGGTTTATGGGGCATTTATTGACACTTAGTGTAAGAGACTAAATATGTGTGAGTATAGTCAGGAATATGCGCAATATGGGCAACAATCATTCCATATTTTATGAACCTTTCAGTCTCTAGAAAGGAGACAGATTGAGATGGATGGCCAATTAACCACGTGGTTTACAGAAAGATTTTGACATGCCTATGAAGTTCAGGCTTCTGAATGTCAGAATTGCCAAATTGTGGAATTTCTAAATTGCCGAAGTGGTGAATTTTGGAAGTGTCGAACCAAATTGCATAAGTGCTGAATTTCGGAAGTGCTGAAGTGCTTCAGATTTCTGAAAATTTGCAAAACAGGAGAGGGACGGAAAATTAAGGGAATGATGACAGGAATCTAACCCTAACCCTAATCCTAGCCCTAACTCTATCCCTAACCCTAACCCTAGTAAGGGTTAAGGTTAGGGTAGGGGTATGGGTAGTGCTAGGGATAGGGGTAAAATTAGGGTTATGGCTGGGGTTAGGCGTAGCATTAGGGGTAGGGTTAGTGGTAGGGTTAGGGGCAAGGGTAGGGTAAGGGGTAAAGGTAGGGTTAGCAGGAGGGTTAAGGGTAGGGTTTGGGGTAGGGTTACTGTTAGGGGTTAGGGGTAGGGTTAGTAACTTTCCAGGACACCATAAAACCTGTACATGGGGAGTACTGTTTTACTTGAAAGACTTTGCTGAACACAAATATTGGTGTTTCAAAACAGTAACATGTATTACAACGATGATATTGTCAGTGAAAGTGAATCTTTTTGCATTTTTTTAAATGGCACATACATGGACGATATAATTGTTGTGAATGAAAATTACCCCCATGATGGCATACCATTTGCAATAGTAGACAAGCCAAGGTATTGCAAATGGGGTATGTCCAGTCTTTTTTAGTAGCCACCAAGTCACAAAACACTGGCCAAATTTGCATTTTTCACACACAAACAAATATTAACACTAACTTTGGCCAGTGTTTGTGACCAAGTGGCTACTAAAAAAGACTGGACATATCCCATTTGCAATACCTTGGGTTATCTACTTATGCAAGTGGTATGCCACCATGGGGGTAATTCTCATTCCTGGGCTACCATACAGTCTCAAAGGCAACGTGACCAACCAATCTTCAATGTGAAAAAAATGGAAAATTTAACATGCTATATTTGACCCTGTAACTTCCCAAAACACCATAAAAACTGTACATAGGGGGTACTGTTTTACACATGAGACATCGCTGAATACAAATATGTGTATTTTATTGCAGTAAAAGCAAACAGTATTATGACATTCACATAATGTCACGTAGAACTAAAAAACAAATTTAAGTTCTTATTTTTTCCAATTTTTAAGATAAGTTTGAAAATGTTCCTGTTTGGGAACGTTGTCTTCAGCAGCTGTATCCCTCCCGTTGTGCCCTGGTGGGCCATGTTAGAGAAATAAGGCAGATCTAAGGTGAACTTGGGTTGTCTTCATTAGACTTTCCCTTAAAATGTCCTTAAGTTATGTATCCTTCCTTCAACTTGGACATTGTTTATAAAGTGTGTTTTGTTTTATTTGGTACAGATATTGCTGTTTTATAGGTTAAAATGTTTGCCAACTCTCTATTTTGCAAAACTCTTTAGTAAAATAATATATCATTAAATAAATAGTTTTATGTGTGCAAAATATTTCAGATATTTTATGTTTGTTTTCTCTCTTCAACCTAATGTTGTTTTATAAAATGCACTTGGACAAGCCCATACCATTATTATTTTTCCATAAATGCATTCTCATCAAACACCCTACACAGTACATACACCCATGTTACATTAGGTGATGTGTTGGGTATTGGTATTTGGTTTCCATATCCTTTTAATTCTTGCTTCAAGTGTGGTTTCAGGAATGTGCATTTTACATTCAACATACTAATCATGTATCAATGGTTTATGTCTTAGTTCAAT